GGCGGGGTGCTGCTGTGGGGCAGGGAGCTGCTGCTGTGTGCTGAGTGCCGTTTGCTCCCTAGGCAGCCCCAGCCCTGAAGGAAGCACCTCACCTCCAAGAGAAGTAAGTGCGGCAAGGGGTGAGACATCCCTTTCTGGGGGGAGTTGGTGGTCTTCTCCAAGAAGCCTACTCACGACTCAACTCTTGCTGAAAGCCTCAGGAGAGGCAAGCGAGCAAGCATGTCAACTCTGTTCCCTCAATGTACAGCGGTAACATGTTTGCCAGGGTAACACATGGGCGACTTTAAATTCTGTAAAAATTCAACAGATGAGTTTCATCCATTTGATTTGGGAAAAACTTAACACAGGCTGTTTCCTTGTGTGCCTCCCTTTCAAACAAAGGACGCACGTTCCCAAAGGTTCCCCCATCCTCTGGATATGCAGAAGGGTAGTGGCAGTATTAGCAACTTGTGTATGCCGGCAGTGTGTACTTAATTTTGTTCTTGCTGCTGTGTTTTTATTTTTCCCAGAAAAGACTGTTTTTTAAGTAGTATTTAAAAATTGGAAAAAAATGATCAATCTTTTTTTAATCCGTGTGTTTCTCTCGATGGCTTTCTGTCGCTTTGCAACCCAGACTGTGGACATTCCTTTCATATGTTGTTTTAGTAGAGATCAGGTGTTGGAACTTGTAGGTCACCATTCATGAAAGTAAATTTCGGTAAGGTCCTTTAGGTATAAAATAGCTGAAATGATGATAGCCATATACTGAATTACAGGTACTTGTCATGACAGATGCAGTTATTGGTCAGAACTATTTTGTTGTGGACAGAATGCAGAACTGGAAAACTGTCAAAGTTTTGGTGGAGACATGTTGTCCAGTTAGCAGTGATGACTAAATACAGGAATGCTGCTGAAAAGCCACCAATAAAAAATGCTTGCTGCATGATCCTCAGTTTTCCCAAGACAGCAGAGCAACTTAGCTTCCCACAGTTGAAAGAGGGAGTTTCTGCTCCCATCTCTTCTCCTCTCTCCATGTGGCACGCCATGAATTCCTGGTTTTCATCACTGTTGGGTCAACTGCTTTAAATCACTAAAATGGCAAAAAATTGATAACTTAGAATGGCAGAAGAACTCTTTCCATTTAGTGGGTTGAATCAGCTTGTGGAAAGGGTTTGATGAGTGGCAGAGCCAGAACAAAGGTTGGGAACAGAACTGACCAGAGAGTAAGGAGAGAAGGAAGAGCAGAAGGAAGAAGGAGTTTGAATTTGGAAAGCAGTGGAAGGGGAATGCCCTTTTGGTGACAGTGAACAGTTAGGATGGCTCAGCTGCAGGTCAAGCTGCAGTTCTAAAAGAAGGGAAAAAGCCACCCTCCCACCCCCAACAGATTCTGTACTATGTTTCCTAACTGAAACAACTTCCAAGACTCCAAACCTTAGCTGCCTACTTCAATCAAAAGGATAACGTTGATTTTAAAACAATTTGACAAATACATCCTAGTGTGTGGTCTTGAGATTTTTGTGAAGCTTTACTAAAAAGTGGAAAATCTCTAAAATTTGAGGAATTAGCTTTTAACACTTCACTCACAAAGGCACTGAAAATAACAAGAGTTTTAAGCTACTTCATGTTGCTCATTATTTTAAATGATGTTCTGTAACATATTATTTGCATGTGAACTATATTAAATTGAAGTATGTAAATTATATTGCCCTAGGACTTCTTTGAAAGTAGAATGTGTATGACAGCAAGTAATATTTAAATAGGTGAAAGTAGTAGAAAATAAAAGGCTATGTGGAAGAATAACAATAAGAGCATAGTAATGCTTTGTGCTGAGTAGGGAACATACTGATGTTCAGAAAAGGTGGTGCAATTTTCCCACTGTTCTGCTTTTATAGAGGCTAATGTTGCTCGCTGGGGGAAAAAAGAAATCTGGTAACTGTACATCTACCAAAGATTATTCACAGTGAAAGAGAGACCGCCTCTTTTCTTTCTCCCCTCCTCCTCCCCCTGGCATCCATTCACTCTGGCATCTTTTTAAGGTGGTTTTCACTGTCTCATCCTCTTGTAATGGAGGATTTTGCTATTAGCCTTTGAAAGAACTATGTACAATCAAAATTCTCTGAGGATTCACTTACCAGATTGTCACACCTGACAGTTCTGATGACTGTTGCGTGGTGTATTTGCTACCTTTACCAGAAACAATCCCTCCTTCCCATTCTGCCTCCTCTCCATTTTATTTTTGTCTCTTGGGAGCTGCAGAGGAGAAGGTGAAAATGGAAATGCTTGCTCATCATGCTCTCAGGTTAGGTTAAAAAAAAATCAAGATGGAAACGAAAATGTTTAGAGAATCAAGTCTTCATCGACTGTGCAGTATACAGATACAGTATCTCAGTTAAATTATTCATAGAGTTAGCTGTGCAGCATGATAGGAAGAGGGAAATTTAGGAAAAGCTTGTAATGAAGATGAAGCAACCATAGAAAAGGGGGAAAAAAATCATTAAGACGTTATTTCCTTTCCTCCCCTGTAAAACAAGTTTCTGTCTGGCAAAATGGTCTTGTGAATGTATGGGAACAGCCATTTCATGCAGCCTTTTCCAAAAAGTAACTGTGAACAGATGTTAATGATGCCCAGCAACCATAAAAGCCACATTTTCTCCCGCCTTACCCAACCTATAGCTATTTATCCAGGCACAGTAACTATAAGGTCTTCCTCGACTATCAAATTGTAAGTTTTAAAGTTGTAAGTTTAAAGTAGTTTTCTTACTTAAAGCTATCATTCTAATTTGATAGTATCTTATACCCAGTCACTGTTACACTTGCAGAGGTAGGTATAGACAAGACCTATGAAGATAGTGAAGAATCAGGTCCATCAACTACGATGAGAAGTAACATTGTTTCAGCTGTTGATTGTTAGCAACAGTTTTAACTTGAAAAAGCATTGCCAGTGGCTTAGCTACCTGTGTACGGAAAAGCAAACTACTACAACATCTCATTGGCAAAATAATGTCATTTTGTAACACAGGCACAATCCGCATCCCGAATTGCAGACCCTGAGAGGGAGTGAGTTGTGTAGCTGTGAGCTAGCCATGCCATGCTGACCAAGGAGGGACCAACAGGGAAGGGCACCTCCTGTGCACAGCTGGTTAGCAGTCGCAGGAGTGGAATCTTGGTTTCTCTCATATTATGTGCCTGTTCGGTTTCTGATGTGCTTTGATTATGCTGTGCCTCTCTGCTTGTTCTTAACATAGAGCACCTTGTTGGTGTTCTCTCTTCATGTAAAAACTTTTGTCTGAGTTAGCTTTGTATGAAATCCAAGAAGTAATGGGCTGGCTTCTCTGTCTGCAAGTATTGTAAGTGGCCAAACACTATGAAATTGGTTGTGAATTTAGAAGGCATTTTTTTTCATAAGCCTATGGAAATGGATTGTTGTGATTCAATTACATTTAAAAGATCTGTTTTGGGTTGTTAGAGAAGTTTGCCTTTAAGGCAAAACTGGCTTCTTAGCAATGTTGACCTTGTTGTTGAAACCAAAATCATAAAGGTCGCAGAGCTTGCTACATGCTAGTAGTTCATTGTTCAGAAAGCATCTCTTTGAAAAGGCAGAAATGAGGAAGCAGAATACATAGAATTTCCCACAAGATGTTTTGCTGCCTTTGGCAATTTATTAAAAAGTGCAAAGCTAAACATTAAAAAAGAGAAAAACAAGTGTGATTTGCCATTATTTGTTGATCTGAATTTGTGTACAGTTAATATTTGGAAAGCATTCATAAAGATGGTAATGATTTTTGAAAGTGCCTTTTTTGTAGTATTAACAGCTGGTCATCTGAAACATAATCTTGAAAGTGAATTACTGGTTATTGTTTACAATGCTGAAGTTAATCTGTCAGGAAACGAAAAAATATTTTATGATTTAGCTGAATACTTGACAATGGCACAAATTGCAAATGGATAACATCAACATGGAATTAATATTTCAATCTATATGCTGAAATTTGTTAATATAAACTGCATGGATAATACTTAGGAATAACAAACGCGTCTCAGGAGACTTAATGGGATGAATCCATAAGAAATACTAGACTATGACCAGTTTTGTGTATCACATTTCTGTTTTTCATTTGACCAAGTGTAAGTCTTGTTATTAATCCAGTATTTTTTTTTGCTGGTTGGTAATATAAGCTCTGCAGACCATGCAGCAATGTACCACTTCTAAATTTATTTTCTACATACTGCACTGTAAATTTTTAAGAATGTGCAGGGCTAACTAATTTTATGAAGCAGAGTATTATGGCTTGCTGCAAAGGAAACAAAGACTGTTTTATTTCACAGAA